CTTTATTAACTTATTTATAATTTATAATTTTTTTATTAATTAATTTAAAATTTATTTAAAAAAAAAATTAATTAATTTAAAAATTTATAAAAATTAAAAAAAAAACTTAATGGCGCCCACTTTATCTTGTAAGTGCCTAAGTTGCCAGAACGTAATCTAGAGCAAAGCCTTAAAAGTATGGAATCTTTATGGACTGAGTTGCAGATTTTGCGTCGGTAGAGAAATAGTGATCGTGAAAATTTCCTGATAGAAATACTCCTGGCAGCGTTTAGTAAAACTTAGTTGGTTTTTATTAATGTTCATCGTTTCAATTTAACATTTGTATTTGTACAATTCTCCTGTTAAATAAGTTCGAGCTTTGTATCAGAATTAAAACGTAATAGTTAATTATTATAACTAGTATCTTATATTCTATGTAAGTAGGTAGGGAGTTCATACAAATACAATGTAAACTTTAAATTTACCAGCAGAAAGCCTGAAATTAAATTAAGCTTTTATGAATGTCTGGGTACTGGCGATTGCACTTTAAATATTCAGTGCAATGCCTACGTTATAGCGTTATCCGTACCAAACTGTACACTGGAACAATGTTTAGATTAAACAATGCTTTGGTTCGGTACTAAACAACCATCATAAATACTAATTAACTACCTATGGAAAATAAAAATTTCAATAACGTTTGTTACTCATTACAAAATTTCCAAAAAATTATTGATTCCGTAATTATTATAACTGCGGTTACTATATATTTTCCATCTAAATTGATATACGCTGTATAATCAGAAGTGAGAACAAAATGCAGAGCCGTTGCCAGACCTTCCGGTTACATCAGAACAAACTCATACCAATGCGAACTTTCATTGGGTCATTGCTCTTACGAAAAAGGATACCCCTGTAGCCCTGTACTATTCTTGTTTTCTTTTCTTCATATCTAGCCCATACACCAGATTACAGCTTCGTTATAATTTAATTAAACGTATCTTCATATAATACGAACATCGTCTCAGTTACCGAGACCACTTGATGATCTTGAAATAAGATCAGCTAGCCTCGTTTATGTATCGTGTAATCCCTAACTTACAACATAGGTAGCTAGAAGCATAGTTATTACTTTAATTAAGTATATGAAGCTCATGTCAGGAGGTGTCGAAACCAATTTGTTAGTTCTAATTAAAATTGATGGAGTATCATGCGTCAATATTTATTGGGAACTTTTTTAAAGTGTTTTGACAAAGCACATGTGCCTACCTATGATTTTTATTGATATATAGAGTATTAATTGGACAGTTAGATACATTATGTAGATAGTCCTTAGGACACGGATCATAAATCTGGTGGACTGTATAATAATTAAAATTAGAGTAGGTCTAAGAAGTCATAAACAGCTAACTGTAAGGTTTAGACGTGAATTAGGTCGAGCGACGGGTTAATTCGCAGACACTGGCTATTGACTATTGATACGCATAGTAACACTTTTCAGACTGTTACTGCCACACTCTAATGAATTGTAACACACCTATCTAGGTATGTACTTCCATTACATAAAACAATTATGTAGTTACTTAATTGTAAAAGCATTAGATAACGGAAAGAATGAACACGTGAATGTCATGACTACATAAAATTAATTTTATTGGACTGGTATAATAGGGACAAATTAGTTGACTGAACAATACATTGTTTATAGAGCATTTTTTTCTATTGTGTATTGGGATTTGCATAACATTTGCAAAACATTAGCAAGACTCGAATACGTATTTCTTTTAAATCAGCCTCATCTAGCCAATTGTGTTAAATTGCTTCAATCAAGATTTATAAAATTGCGCTTCCTAGTCGTCAACTCGGATCGTCTATGGAGATGTCTCCAACGATGACAAGTCAATCGACACCAGGACTTAACTATGATAATCATGATAAGTACTGTTATCACGTCATGTTGTTATCAGCGTCTACCGATCGATATGAATATTTTCGCTGAGATTGGGCCATGAGGCACTTTCACCGCCGTTACACGCGTTTTCTAGCGAAACACCGAACTCAATTATTAATAGCAGCCTATTTTTGGAGCGGCTTCGGACGCGGATTTGCGCTCGGGCGTGTGCGAGGCCCGGGCGAAGTCACTATCTCACCTGGGCCAGGTGTAGACACCGGAAACTTCAAAGCCGAAGTGCCAGGAGCCGGCGTAAGCTCCCTGAGCTTTGGGTCCAGTACACACTCCGTGGCCGTGGGCCTTGCCGTCTTCCCATCCACCACAATAAGTACCACCATCGTCAAAGTCGAAACGGCCACCGTTGAGGCCACGCTGCGGGGGGTTTCCGCTAGCGGCGTGCGCGGCGTCGGCTAGCTCGCTCGGCTGCATCACGCGAAACCGTGGTGCCGCGGAGGGGAGGGCCTCCCGCGCGCACCCTCCACCGAGCTCGCGGTATAAATAAACATCAGCTGGGCATGTCGCGCCGTGGCGCGCCGCCGAGTGAACACCACTCCGGTCCTGCGCGAGGAGCACTGCGCGCCCGCGGCACGACGCGCCGCCCGCCCGCCGCGCCCCGCCCGCCCTGCGCACTGCGTACTCTACGCAGCGCAGCTCACCGTCGCCACTACCGCTGCTACCGCCACATTGTCGCCACAACAACTTATATACAATACTGCTTTTCACATTACTTGTTTCAAATATAATGTTTAGGGAGATGCTACCGCATTACATTGCAATGTAGTACTGTGGACAAAGACAAACATAATATATAATGTCACTAACGTCGTCTGAAGTTTTGAACCTGAAACACCTACTACAATTTTGTCGATTTTTTATTTCCTATTGCACATCAGAAGTGCTGAATTCGCTTCCATTGTTAGTAGGTCAGTTGGTGATCTGTTAGTGCTCCGTGCCAAGACAGCTTTCTGTAGATACTTTAAAGGCCGAAGTTAGCCAAAATTATTTGTGGTCTCGTAAATTTTATTTCACCTATATGATATTTGGATGTTATTGATGTTCTCGGATGGTTCAAAAACTGTTCAGAAAACATGAGTAGATAGCAGTAGATAGGTACCTAATGCCTGTTTTTATCATCTTCTCCAAAGCTTTAAGGAACTCCTAAGCCAAGTTAGGTGGCATTTACGACAATTTGGTTTTCACCTTCCCATAAGTGACACATATCACATAACAGTACAAGTGGATAGTTTAGGTGTTGCATCACGCTTAGTAACTTTAGGTAAAGATATGGTTTAGGAATGGTTGGTGAGAATGGGCATAAGGCTAATTAAACAGTGTTTAATTAAAAAACATATATTGCTGAAAACTGGGAAAAACGAACACTATACAACCCTTAACCTTACTATAAGTTCAATTAACTGAGGCCTTAGCACGAGTTTGTTTTTGCCGGATTACCGCCGTGGGATCTGGAGGCGAAGGTACTCGCGCGCGTGTTTTGTTTGCGCGCGGAGGCACGTCGCCGGGGTGAGACTCCGCTGCCGCGCCAGATTAATGCGTGGCGGGATGAGCTACGGCGTGATCTCATGGCGGAATGGCAGCAACGACTGTTGCAACCGAAGGCTGGGATCGCTGTCATCGCAGCGGTAAGTCCCCTCTTTGAGGAGTGGCTTGAGAGACGCTACGGCGTCCTCACCTACCGCCTGACACAGGTGCTTACCGGGCACGGGAGTTTCGGTAGGTTCCTGTTTCGGATTGGACTGGAGGAAACGCCCGGGTGTCATCACTGCGAGGATCGCTCGGAGGACACGGTAGAACTTACGGTGGTGGTGTGTCCTGCGTGGACTGAGCACCGCCGTGTCCTCAGGAATGTGATCGGCGACGGCGACCTCTCGCGTCCGGCTCTGGTTCAGACCATGGTACGGAGCGAGGGGGACTGGGATGCCGTCTCCTCCTTCTGCGAAGCAGTCATGCTAGCTAAGGAGGAGGCGGAGCGCGTGAGAGAACGAACCTCCTCACGACCCGGCCGTCGCGAGAAACACTCCGGGCGTCGGGGATCGCGAGACGATCTCCGGCCACCATAAGCACGGGCCTGCGGACGGCGAGCATGGGTGACTCGCCGCCCGACCAGAACCAGGCCCGAGCGTACGGCGCGTCGCGTTCCGCGCGCGCCTCAAGGAGCCATCAGACCACCACAGATGGGGCCTAGCAGGGCTGATGCCGTTACGGAGCCGCGGAAGACTTAACGGGTTGCCGGGGCTCCGGCTCGAAGTGCAGGAGTAGGAACGGGGTGGTTTTTAGTCAGTAAGAGTCTGAAACTCCCTCCCGCCTCACCCGGGCGGGAGAAGTCATTGGATGATTGTCCCCCTCAAAAAAAAAAGTACGAGTTTGTTTTACGTTTAAAGTAACCGCATCGAGTACGCGTTCGGCGTTGTGATTGGTTGCTTAATTGGTGCCGGCCAATCAGAGTGCCGAACGCATACTCGTTTCGAATATTTTAAACGTAATTCAAACTACTAAGGCCTCTGTAGCTGAATAAGCATTCAGTTTATTTTAGAGATGATTTGTATTGTGAACCTAATTGAAAAAGAGTAACTATGGAGTTTCTTGCTCGTTCTTTTCCATAGGAACGAACAACTACCTTTACTAGAGGACTGACCGAACAGACTGACATTAATATTTTAATATTTGCTCGTCCTGGTCTAATTGAAATAAATGATTTTGACTTGTATTTTATTATCAGTGCAATATAACAAGCATCCCGATACGAAGCCGCGGAATGATTGCTGGGGTTCCGGCTCGAAGAGTAGGAGTACGAAAGGCAGTAAGAGTCTGACACTCCCTTTCGCCTAACCCAAGGCGGGAGAAGCCATTGGATAATTTCACCCCATCAAAAAAAAAGTCTAACAATCATGGGCAGTAGAATATAGCGCAAAAGTGCACAATGTGCACTTTTGTAGAGAAACAACAGGCTCATAGACCTGCACAGGACTGTTCTGATAGATTGAAAGTCGGTGCCACAAACTCATAACAGAATATTGGAACTGTAAACAGAGTTTACTTTGGTGAGTTTAGGACTGGTGATATCGATTATCATCATAATATTATGAGTAATAAGCGAATACCTAAAACTTACCGTCGCCGTAAACTCACGCCTATTATCCCTGAAGGGGTAGGCAGAGGTTGTACATTATGCCAATGTAGAATGTAACACCCACTTTTCACTATTTATGATAAGAGTCCCATGTAAAGGGGGTGAGCCTATTGCCATATACCGGGCACAATTCCAGACTCCGTGCTACTGCTTAGAATTTATAAAAAACCAGTAATACTTTGCCCGACCCGGGAATCGAACCCGAGACCCCTTGCCCGGCAGTCGCACTTGCGAGTACTCGGTCAACGAGGCATTCTAAAACTTATTGCATACATAATAATGTAGTCATTTTGATGTTTTATTTTTTTGTTTATGGTGTCGATTTTTTAATCGTAACGTTTATTTATTTGTTATAAGTTTCTAATACAGAGGAATATAATACATCTACACTTGGCTTGTCTAATAATATTGAGTATCGAATCGAATTCAAGGTTGACGTAGTTATTGTGTTTACCATCTGTGTAACATGTCATAGGTTCAGCACTGATAAGAAACAACTACTTATTTGTATAATCAAAATATTTTCAAATTAATGGCCTTAAGTTTTAAAGTTTGTTAGTAGAAAAAAAAAGATCTGTATTGAATACTTTTCTCTTTATAATCTTCACCTAGAGATTCAATGTACTAATCGATTAACGATTAGTGTAAGTTTTGGGGATGCGGTTAAATATAGAGTTTATGTGATTAAAACAGAAAAAATCCGTGAAAAAAACAACTTATATTTTTTTTTTCTTCTTTGGCAACCGAGTAACAACTTATAAACTACAGCAAAAATACTGTGCTCTCTGACGTCAAAATAAAAAAAAGAAAAGTGACATTCAATTTTATGTGACAAATGACATTGACAGCTTGTTGAATGACTTGTTGACGTGATTACAAATTATTATTTCTCATTGAACAAAACACAATTGCATTATCGCAATCAGACGTCGATTTGTATTAATCTCGACAATTGTTTCTAATAATTAATGAAACTTCGACCTGATACGATATACAAATAATGTGACTCTTGACAATTTATTGTAAAAAGTGCTGCGCAATCAAAAGATAAAATTGGACTGCGAAATTGTGCATTGTTGATTCCTAGATACTTTTTGTAATTAATAGCATTTAATTGTCGGCCCCAGTAAACGCCAGTGTTATCATAGTAAAATAAACCTATCACAGCAAGCAAAGTGAATGGATGTACAACAAGGATATCCAGACATTTGTTTCAAATTAAGTTTATTGTAATTTAAAAAGCTTTAAGTTTCATACAAAAGTGAAGTGATAACTATGGAGGCTCCAGAGACCAGTGGGAGTAACCGGCCCACCATGCTGCAGCCCACATCATGGTGTCACCCAGCAAATAGAGTACATAGATTTTTTGCACTGTTGCTAATGTGCTTCCTTTGTTTTGGTAAGTTAACAATGAATGTGTCTCAAATTGTAGTAAAGTTGTTGAGATAGGGGTCTATTGTTGTAAATATAATGGACCCTCAGTGAATCTATTCAAAAGAGAAGTCAATTTGAAAATACTTGTACATTATTATGTTTAACTCGTCGAGTACCGGTTTTGTAGACACAATTATAGAACAATAGGTTGCGGTCACCGGTGACCGCTTGGTGTTTGACAGTTTAATGTATGATAGGAAAAACTTTTTTATAAAAATATAATTTGAAATGATTTTATTAATAACAATTTTTATTGTTTTTTTTTTGACCTTGATAGAATAACAGTGATGATAAGAACAATTTTCCTGTTTCAGGTTCATACTTTTGTTATGATACTCCCGGTGCACTGGCTGACAACTTCAAAGATGACTCACACTTGAACACATCCCAGTTTGCATTGCTTTACTCAATATACTCATGGCCAAATGTGGTATTGTGTTTCATAGGCGGTTATCTTGTTGATAGGTATGTTTCATAATAATTAGTATTTTGTTTATCACTACTCATTATGACCGCTAACATAACTTTGTATGTTGAATTTAGAAATATTTTTTTAGAATATAGCACTCTTTTTCTCTGTCTTTTCTCTGTATGCAAATTTCCAACTATAATTTAAGACCAATAAAATATATATTTAGCTACTTTAAGCTAGCCATATTTGCATGCTCCATATTACTTAGATAAAAAAATAAATATAATAATTGATCAGGTACTTTTACATAGACATAAAATCAATGGTATCTTTCAGGCAATAACTGTAAATGTCTCAGAAAATAAATGGCAGACCAAAGTAAAAAGTGGGTGTATTTTGCATTACACCCACTGTGTTTTACTTAGTATAGTACCATTGCTAATACATAATTATAATGAGAGTCAAATCCATATTTTTAAACAGCAACTAATTAAAGCTTGATTGTTTTTAATAATGAGCACACATTTTTCTTAAATATACTTAGATAGCATAATTATTGTTAGAAATACTTATAAATACAATAAACAATGTTGTCATATCCTGTTTCAACATTGACAAAACAAATTACATTTTATCATTAGGTATTTAGAACAGTATGCACATTGCACTTAATATAATATGTATAGGTAATCAAGAGCAAATGATATGATGTTTACAATATCTGTGACCCTATTGAGTCCAATTAAATTATTGAAATATTGAGAATGTTATGAGTACATAGCAACATGTGTGACCTCAATACTATTGACACTGTTTATTGACAAAATGAAATTTAGATTTTCTGTTTAATTTCAGGTACTTTGGCGTAAGATTGGGCACAGTGATTTATATGACAATTGTGTTTATTGGAGCTGTTATATTTGCATTTGGAGTGTATATTAATGCATTCTGGTTGATGATACTTGGCAGATTTGTGTTTGGGTGAGTATCAGATAGAAGTTAATAAATCACAAGACACAATTAAACTGTCAAACACCAAGCGGTCACCGGTGACCGCAACCTATTGTTCTATAATTGTGTCTACAAAACCGGTACTCGACGAGTTAAAAGAAAAACCTAATTTAGTAAATATTATCTTAGAAAAAATATTTATTCCACTTACGATTTTCGTAAAATGAATTCATACACATACATGTGCTGATGATTCATTATAAATCAATAGATAATAAATGATCTTACTTCCGTATTTTTTTTTATTTTATGGAACTGGGCACCCCTTTTTTTACAAGCTAGTTTTATAACATTTTATATACCTATATCTTTTCTTTCACTGTAAATAGTGAATAAACATTATGTATTTTTCAGTATTGGTGGAGAATCCCTGCAAGTAGTAGTAAACAACTATGTTGTCCTTTGGTTTAAAGGCAAGGAACTCAACATGGTATTTGGACTGCAATTATCATTCTCCCGTTTCGGAAGTACTGTCAATTTTTGGGTGATGGAACCTGTTTACAGATGGGTTTCCACATATTATGGAGGATATGAAAGATTGGGAGTTACATTGTTCCTAGGTTTGTATTGCTTAATTTAAATATACCTGTACAATTGTCACAAACCCTTATATCATTTCCATATTAATATAATCTATATTTTCAGCCTCACTAACTTGCTTTGTGTCCCTTATTTGTGGCGTGATTCTTGGCTGGATGGATTACAGAGCTGAAAAAATTCTAGGAAGGCAAGATGAACAAAGCAACAATGAGCCCTTCCATCTGACAGACATTAGACATTTCAAATCAGTGTTTTGGCTGTTGTCTGTAATTTGTGTGGCTTATTATCTAGCCATCTTTCCATTTATTGCCTTGGGAAAGTGAGTAACTTTCTGAATTTTTCCATTGTATCTAAATTACCCTCTTTGTGTACATTAATAACTTTGTTGCGAAATATTACAAATCCTTATCAACAATATGAATTTCAATTATAATAAATATTCTCACAATTTCAGATTATTCTTCGAGCGAAAATTCGATTTCTTGCCACAAGAGGCGAACAACGTTAATTCCATGGTTTACTTGCTATCGGCAGCTTTAAGTCCATTCTTTGGTATTCTCATTGACAAGACTGGAAGAAATATGACATGGGTTATAATAAGCATTGTGACAACAATTGGTGCACATTTTATGTTGGCTTTTACATTCTTTAACCCATATATTGGTGTGGTAAGAAACCAATTGAATAACTCCACTTCTATTTGTCGACTATATTTTCTTTTATTCAAATGGTCTTTATTTTTCAGATATCATTGGGCATCTCTTATTCCCTACTGGCTAGTGGTTTATGGCCACTGGTAGCCCTAATTGTTCCAGAAAACCAATTAGGAACTGCATATGGAATGTAAGATTTTCATTTTAAGTTTAAGTTTCGCTCCAATACTTCATAGTCATAAGTCATAACATGGCTTTACATGGTTATTAGATTCACTTAAAATGCATTACCAAAACCATGGTTGTTATGTTTGAGTAATAGAATAACTAAAACTCAAGGTTGTAACATAACTTAACATCACGCCTTTTATTCCCGATGGGGTAGGCAGAGGTGCATATTATGCCACTGTACAATGTAACACCCACTTTTCACTATTTATGTCCCATGTAATAGGGGGTGAGCCTATTGCCATATACCGGGCACAATTGCAGAATCCGTGCTACTACTGAGATTTTTTGTAAAAGCCCAGTAATACTTTGCCCGACCCGGGAATCGAACCCGAGACCCCTTGCCTGGCAGTCGCACTTGCGACCACTGCCAACAAGGCTGTAAAGTTTATGAAAAATGTGTAAAATAACAATGATAGGAATTTTTATCTATTTTCAGATGTCAAGCAGTGCAGAACATGGGCTTAGCTACAGTCATAATCTTTGCAGGAATGATTGTTGACAAATATGGATACTTAATGCTAGAAATGTTCTTCTTAGGATGTCTCTTTGGTATGATCATTAGCCTACTTGACTTTGAATTTAATAAAAGTTGATAATAGGCACATTATATGACCTAATTTGAATTTTATTTCCAGTATCACTGATTGCGGCTGTACTTATATACATAATTGACTCAGCAAATAATGGAGTCCTGAACATGTCACCAAGCATGAGGGAGTCTACTAAGTCTACGTAAGTTTAAATATAAACTTGTTCAAATTCTTATTTATGGACTGACCCGCATTTATTCACGTTACAATTTTAATTTTTGCAGGGTTACACGAACTGACGAAACTGCACATCTGTTAGATAATGAAGACTTTACAGATCAAGAAGAAACTGATTCAAGAAGACCGTCTGACGCGGCGCAAGATCAGATGTCTAATAATCCACGTGACACCGCCCAAGCCCAGTCCGATAGAATACGCAGTAGATACTTAGCACAAATATTACCAAATAGTAATATTTCAGAAAGAGAATAGAGATCTCGGTATAATTTTCCTATAATACATGTAAATAATTATTAGTATATACTTTTATAGGTTTAGAAAGTTATTATTACTTCTTTTTTAAATTATAAACAAGATATCAATGTGTAAAATCTTTATTGCCACACTTTACACTGGTGAATTAAATATATTATACAATGAACAACAAGTCTCATTTATTATTAATCAAAAATGTTGTAAATGCTGTCATACATTTGGTATAAGTATATTAATTTTAAGTAGACTTTAATAAGTACAAATATAACATTTAATTGGTAAAATAACCATTTGTGCTTTTGTATAATATTTTACTTGTGTATAATAATACTATTTTATTCCTATCTTAGTAAGGCATTGCATATCACTTTGTAAGGCAATTATTATTATATGTTTATAAAATACATGAGTATAAACTCATAAGCTATTTTTAATGGCACCAATATAATCACATTAAGTTTATTGTTCATAAATAATAATATTAAGTACCTCACTGTTTATAACTCTTCATATTGAGTACTGTAATAATATTATGGACTATGGTTGCCTTATCTGATGATAAATAAAACAATAATTTGGAAACCAAATGGTTTACCAAAAACTTCAGATCATGTTCTAATATTGAATTTCGTTGATTCCTGCTATGCAGTATATAACATATCTATACATATAGTGGCATGTAATTCAGTGTTTATAATCCACTTCCTTAGAAAGCTCATTAATACAATTTGTACTTATCTTCTACATTCCATTCAATACCATTACCTGGTAATTTGCTATGGATGAAGGGAGAAATCCAAGTCAGATACCATCTCTCCCCAAAAACTTCTGTCAAATTTAGCTTCCATCCCCTATTATGGATAAAATCTTTGGTATAAGTCTTACTTTCATGAACCAATCTTCCTTTAAGTAAGTTATTGAAATGGTATATAAATAAAAATCCAGTAAAAAGGCCAACTAACACATTTATGACTACCAAGAAAACATAAAGACTTTCATCTCCAAAGTCAATCACAATGCTAGCTAGTGGACAGATAAATTTGACCAATATCAGTCCATGGTTCCAAGTTATGAATTGAGATACAAATTTTATATTGTAAAATAAAGAGTATAACATAGCTACAAAGATGTAAAAAGTGAACAGCATAAAATACCTATGATTAAAATAGCCAACGCAACATGCGAAAAATGTGCAGTGGTGGTCCCTCTTTAAAGTACAGATATCACACGTGTCACAGTGCCAAGATCGCGGTGGTCTCAAACATTCACACACACTACAAAAAGTCCAGTCTTCCTTATTGAATCCTTCAAGGTTTTTGCCTTTTATTGTAGTATTTGTAAACATCCCATAAATCATATTGCCCATGATATTAAGTAACAAAAACGCTGCACAGGCTATATGACAATAGAACTCAAAGCTCCACTGCTCCACTATTGCTGGTAATACAATGCATAGTTCGAAGTAAAGAAATGCTGGTATAAGTATTAATGTAATGGCAATATAAAAGCTGTGTTCTGTCAACCTTCTCAACTGTTTATTTTTAATAAACTCCAATTTCATTAGCATTTTGTTCTAGAATAAGAGATCTCTTATTTGTGTTTAATAATTCACCATTACTTTATTGTATGGAATACCTAAAACAGAAAAAGAGGTAATATAATTATTACGGTAATAACTACATAGAAATAGGTTTAAGTGTTAATTTCAACTTTCTATTGCAGTAAATATAAATTGTGAATTAACCGACAATTTAGGTGTTACTTAGGGTTTTTACCTGTCTGTTATTTTTATATAAATATATGTAAACCACACGTTATAAATTTACTTCCTATTACTTTTTAATTATTAAAAAAACCAATAATTTCATTGTAATCATTGTTGATAATATTTACTTGACATTGACATTGACACTGTCGTCCTTCCGTCATGTTGATCGGTTTTACTCATCACTTCACTCCTCTGACTGATGACTCTGACTCATTGACATCTCGATTCTCCTGACTCTGAATCTCTGAATATCCCTCATATCATATCAGTGGAATATCCTCTGTCTGATTCGGCCATAGATGTATAATATTCATCTATGGATTCGGCTCACTGACTCACTGTCAATGGGCCGGGCGTATTATATTCTAACTTGTTCCCAGTTTGAGGAACTATTATAGTTAAAATTAAACAATTTTATATAAATTTTGATGAAGAAATAAAATCTTTTATTTCTAGGTAAATCTATTGAATTTTCTGCTAAAAGACTAGTATTTATATTTTCATAGAACAAAAAAAGTGACGGCTGTTCTATTTGACGTCTGCACCGCACCCTCCTCTCCCCTCCTTCACCCCCTTTAACTTCCCACATCACGACGAAAGTTTAGGTTCAAAGTCTGGGTCCAAAATTATTTAATTAGTAGTTTTATTTCATCGTTCATTTAGTTTTTAATAGTATATACAACTTTTAAATATGTCGAACAGTAAAATATTTAGTGCCCTTAAGATATTAAGGACCCGCAAGGATCTGAAATATTTAACTGGTAAGAACTACCTGTGTGACTTTCTCAATAATTTCATTCGTCGGCAAAGTTTATCAATAATTTTACTACTGGTATAAATATGCAAATATTTGGTGTCGTTCCAGTTTTAAAGTCTGATTATTGCCATTTTCATCATTGTTTTAGGTCTACACAGCAGAAACTATGCTGCAGCAGCAGGTAGTCTGGTGCATACCAAGTGTAAAATTGTCAATGGCGTTTATGTGGTTACCCTTGATTCACCTAATACCAAGGTAAATCAATCCCAATATGACAATATTCCAATGAAATGCCCCGATTTGCATTATAATATCATATAATGCATAACAATAAAAACAAAAATTTATATTGCTTTATGTTTCAATTCGTCTTTTCCATTTTGTTTATCTACTATATTTCTAGAATACTTTTACATTAATGTAGGTAACAAATTTCTTACTACATAATATTAAATAAAAATACTAGATCAATTGGATATGTTGGTTTCCAGTTGGAATCCAATTACAAAAGGTTGATGACTCCTCATTGCTAAATGATTGATAATTTCAGGTGAATTCTTTAAACACTGCTGTTATGGATGAGGTGACAACTGTACTTAATGAGATTGAATCAAACCCCGCTATTCAAGCAGCAGTCCTAATATCAGGCAAGCCAGGATGCTTCATCGCCGGAGCTGATATCACCATGCTGGAGGCATGCAACACCAAAGATGAATTTGTGACACTTTCTAAAAGAGGTTTGTTATTTTAATAAATCTTCTAATTAATTTTAGTTTTATCAACTAAAATTCTTGTATATAATTTTTAAATGCCAATGATTTATTGGTTGTTTATTTATTAAAAACCTTAACAGCTTATTTATTATTTAAATTTTAATAGTAGTGAGATGATGGCAGTTATCTCTTAAGCTAATTATAGAGTTTCATGACATTGATAAAGCTTAATTTGTTTGTTATTTCTATTACACAATGAAAAATACCTTAATTAAGAAAATCATAAAATACTATGATTTCTCTGATTATTTTATTAGTAATATACATAATTGAAATATGTACAAACTACATAATTATATTTAATTATCATTGTTTTTTAAATAAAATATTGCCCCACACTAGGATTTTCTCCTGTGTCGTGGGTGCGTTTACAAACATACAAGTTCACATGACACCCAGACTCGAAACAACTATTTGTGGATCACACAAAGATTTATTCCGTGCGGGAATCGAACCTGCGACACGTTGCGGTCGGTTGCCTAACCACCGCACCAACTGTGCAGTCTTACTTATGATGAAATGTAAAAAAAACTTAATTATGATGAAAATATATAGAACTTAAGTAAATCTATTAGCAACATAAAATTATCATAATAAAAATATTAGTAAGCAAAGGAACAAATGGAAATATTTTTGTCTGGTGACCAAAGCTTAGCGGCAGATTTGCTTTCAACAGTTTTGTGTCAGCAGTCAAAGGCTTTAATTTAATAACAAATTTAAATAAGTAAAATTAATTCTATTTATAATTTTACAGGTCATGGCATTTTCCATAGAATTGAGAAGTCCCGTAAACCTATCATCGCTGCCATCCAGGGTAGCTGCCTTGGTGGTGGCTTGGAGACAGCTCTAGCATGCCACTACCGTATTGCTGTGAAGGATCCCAAGACTGGATTTGGTCTTCCAGAAGTTATGTTAGGACTACTGCCTGGAGGTGGTGGTACTCAAAGGTATATAAATTTTACTTGTGTACCCTACAATCAGTCACATAACTACAGGATGGCAAGGAGGCAAAATGCCACGGGCTCCCACCTGAAAGAAGCTTTCATCTAGAGTCTCTCTTCGATGAATTTGGCATGGGCCTCCATCGGTATATTTACGTCACTGCATACAATAATTAATACTATACAATGCAACCTGTGAACTAATGCATCTTTAATAATTTAGCTGTAGTTGTTTATAGTAAATACAATTTAGTGCTATATTTTTCATTCAATTAATACAAAATAAAACTGTTAGTCCCCTTCTGTCACTGGAATGGAAGTCAGAAGTCATAGTAACAAAAATTATAATAAGGAAATAACCATGACCTGGACAAAGATCACATTATATAAGATCACATACTTGGCAATGAAATAATATTCAGAGCAAGGTTGCCAAATATTGTGCATAATCATGTTATAAATAAATACATGTAACTAAGAGATGTAGATAAGAGTACATACTTACAAATATGTATTTTCACATGTCCTTGGCAATGAATTTTGTTCAGATTAGATCACATGAATGAACTTAGTTCAAGGCCATTTGGTGTTGCATAGATATAATCTCAACTTTTGTTGTGATGTTCCAATTCTATGTGAATTCAATGTAATATGACTTTGTTTTTCAAGGATGCCAGTGCTTACTTCAGTTCCCACGACTTTGGACCTAGCTCTCACTGGAAAGACTGTAAAAGCAGATAAGGCCAAGAAGTTGGGAATAGTTGATCTGTTAGTTTCCCCTCTTGGTCCAGGTAAATAATTTAATTCAAATAATTATTTTATGCCATGGTGCACTTATAAGATACTGGCGGCCCACCCCAGATACCTACAGCACCCCAGCCCCAACCAGGCGGTTGCTATTTCCTTATATTCTCGAAGAAAGATTCAATATCTGTATTTTGTAATGCCACCTTAAGGGAAAGTACCCTTAATACTTAATATAGAAAATTTTACTCAAAGAAAATATTCCTTTATTTTTGAAAAGAAACAAAAACTGCATCCAAAGATTTTTAAAAATTAGATTGGCCCGCACTGTTTTGGATCAACTAAAATCTGTCAAAGTTTGCACCCTGTACTTTTTTTGCATCAATCGTTCATTGTTTTCCTTTCATTAAATTTATGAAGTTTGTTAGAGGGATTTCATCCTTATTGACCCTAACAATCGATACAATAAATGTACAGGGTGCAACTCTTACAGATTTTAGTCAGTTCCATTACCATGTGCGGCATTAAAATTCTTTAAATGCAGATTTCTTTATTTTCAAAAATAAAAGATTGTGTTCTTTGAGTAAAATTTTTAATTAAGAGTACTTCCCCTTCAGGTAGCGTTACAAAATTCCACCCTGTATAATTTTCAACATCTATGTTCATAGGTTTAGGTAAACCAGAAGACAACACAATGAGATACTTAGAGACTGTAGCCATTCAAGTTGCAAGAGACATTGCAAATGGCAAAATGAAAGTAGATAGATCTAAAAAGGGATTAGTTCAGAAAATCACTGCCAGTGTAATGCAATGGGATATGGTGAAGAATATGATCTTCAACAAAGCCAAGGAGCAGGTTATGAAAGCTTCTCGTGGTCTCTACCCAGCACCATTGAAAGTAAGTTTTACTCATTTTTAATTAGGCTGTTTATTAAGTGAATTATCTCAAGGTTAAGGATAAAACAACTTTTTTCTGAATAGTACTCGCCTAGCTTTGGCACTATTCTTGCCATCCATCACAAAAAGTCTTAACTGGCAAAGACTTAAATGGGCGTTTAAAAAGCGGAACAATATGTTATTGTTACTTAATATTAAAAAAATACTTTTCAGATCCTTGATGTGGTAAGGACTGGTGTCGACAAAGGTCCCACAGCTGGCTACGAAGCTGAAGCGCAAGGCTTTGGCGAGCTCGCGGTCACTCCACAGAGCAGAGGTCTCATTGGACTGTTCAGAGGACAAACTGAATGTAAGAAGAACAGGTTTGGAAAGTCCCAAGTTGATGTCAAATCGGTGAGTACAAAATTACCATATTTATGTCATTACATTAATTGTAAATATTTAGCTTTATTTTATCATTTTGCTTTCTTTTTCCAAAACTTCATCAAGGATGCTATAGGTAGGAAATGTTTGTTCTTATCTCTTTAGATAATAGTAGAATTCATAAACAGATTACTATATAATTAATGTTTCTGTAACATCACTGCTAAAGCTAATTGTTTTCTTAGATCGGAGTGCTTGGCGCTGGTTTGATGGGTGCCGGTATTGTGCAAGTGTCTATCAACAAAGGTTACCATGTAGTCATGAAGGATGCTACCAACGCTGGTCTCTTCAGGGGTGTCGGCCAGATCCAAACTGGATTGGCTAACTCTGTTAAAAGGAAGAGGATTACTGGGTGAATATATTTAGGACTCTCCTCTTAAACACATCTGTAATATAGAAGATAAGGATGATATTTATTTTTGTTATCTTTATTTTTAGACTGCAGAGAGACAAGTACTTGTCAAATCTCTTACCCACTCTTGAGTATGAGAAGATGAGCAAATGTGACTGTGTCATTGAGGCTGTGTTTGAGGACATCAACATCAAGCACAAGGTCATCAAGGAGCTCGAAGCTGTGATCCCTAAACACGCTATCCTCGCTACTAACACCAGTGCTATTCCCATCACGAAGATCGCAGCCGGCAGTACCCGTCCTGACAAGGTTATCGGTAAGTTCCTTTTAACGTTAGGAAACTGCCA